CTGAAGGTCTAAATGATCTTTTTCCTCCCAACATTGCTCATTTGAGAAGACATTGTAGGGCTGACATAAAACGATTTAACCTGTTTTAACCTGCATTTCTACTGCACCCTCTAATATTGGCTTGCCTTATTTCTTTTCATATTTTTGGTTATTCTAAAATTCCGCTTCTTTTTCTGAGGGAGAGGGTATAATGAATATACAGGGTGTTTCGAAAGTTTTGTCACTCCCTACAGAAAGTAATGAGAACAAGTAATACAGAAACACAAAGCAGATATACCGGATTCCGTTTATTCACTTTCATTCAAGCTGTCACATACCGGGAAGGTCTGCAGGAGTTCTTGGCAGCCATCGCGAATAGAAAATTATAATCTATAGAGGTGACAAGACTTTCAGACCACCCCGTAGAATAATGTTTTTGGTGACTTTTTGGTCTGTGGCTGTAAGTTATTTCATATCAAGTTGAAATTTGCAAAAGAAGTATTTCGGCTATACTTCGCCATTTCCAGAGAAAGAATATACAATTCCAGTGATAGTCGATGGGTCGTTTCTGCTGTTATGAGTAGGTAGTTTGAAATTAACGTGGATTCACTATTCAATTAAACGTGTTTATATATATATATATATATATATATATATATATATATATATATATATATATAATAAATAAGCACTAATATTCCATGGTCATAATTTATTCCATTGGAATCGTAAATACGATCAATTCATCAGATCTAAAAAATTCAAAAAGCTTTTTTGAATTTGTAGGTCTGATAAGATCGTATTTACGATTCCAATGAATAAATTATGACCATGGAATATTATGCTAAGAACTTTTATATATCTTACTCTGTCCTGGACATTGAGTTCTACCTGGATTCTATCCTCTTGGAATTATTATATATATATATATATATATATATATATATATATAGATAATATTAGTGGAAAATATACATACATATGAAAAATATATCTAAAAATTCCCATACATGTATATTTTCAGAAAAAAATTTTCCAAGAGGAAGGATCCAGGTAGAACTCAATGTCTAAGACAGAAGTAAGGATATAATAAAAGTATTGATAATATTAGTATATATATATATATATGTAAGTATGTATGTATATACATTTATATATTTTAGATATATGATCGCATATGTATGTGTATTTACCACTAATATATATATATATATATATATATATATATATATATATAGATTACTACATATATTACTATATATATTTATCATTGAAATTCAGGGTTAGCAAATAAAACATGTGTACTCACTAAATCCACTAAAATAAAGTTTATAGTAATATATATATATATATATATATATATATATATATATATATATATATATATATATATATATTATATAAACTTTATATATATATAGGCTGGGCTAGTATCGCACTTAAGTAAAATATGTCTTTCCCTTACCTGATTTTCTCCACAATAGCTCCAGCTAGTTTGCATAAGCGTAAAACGAAAGGCACCCTCCACTGATGATACTCATTTATCGTTGAAAAAAAATGAAAGAACTAGAATCATCCGAAGTGGGCCCCAAAAACTCGTCCAGTGCCTTAAATCTCTAGTTCAAAGAAAAAGAACCCAAGCGAGTAACTAAGATAAAACTTAGAGTGATCAATACGCTAAGTAGAGAAAAGGTAAATAAAATAAATCCTAAAGAGCCAGGAACTACCTACCTAAGTGCATCTTCAGCTTTCCCTGAAGATCCATTTAGGTAAAACCTAGGTAGTTAGTTCCTGGCTATTTAGGATTTATTATATATATATATATATATATATATATATATATATATATATGAAATCCGGTCTCAAATGAATGACAAACGCAGGAATGAAATATAGCAATTAAATATATTGACGTAATAATACAATTGGTAATACTGTTAGTAGATCCAGAAATGCGGTTAGTAGCAATAATAATATATATATACAGTCTGGGAAATTCAGTATCGAAGTAGGACTTCCTTCTGAGTCTACGTGCTCGCAACTGTGACTCCTACCAAGCGGTTATCAACCAATGGCTTCTGTTACCAATCATAGACATTTAAGAATATTTGAACCTAACCTGAACAAAATAAACTATGAAGTCTCCACAAATATTCTAATCATGGAGGAATGGTCGACTTATAAATGTGTCGGATAGATCCTTACAGCTTGACATTATATATATATATATATATATATATATATATATATATATATATATATATATATATATTTGTATTAAATAATGATAAAAGTGCTGTCTTATTAGAAATATATATTATTTATATATGAAGTTTTACACACACACACACACACACACACACACACACACTGGTTTAATGGTTAGAGTTGAATCAGAGCAGGAAATAGTAATATTAAAAAGTGCTCAATACTCGTATGAAAAAAAAAATAAAGGTAAATATAACATGTACAGCTTTTTTAACTTTAAAAATGTTGTGGTCATTTGAAAAATATTGCCTGATAAGATCGTGACCTCAAAACCAAGGTCGCGTATTCAACTGAACTCCTGATTTTTAAAATTATATATATATATATATATATATATATATATATGCGTGCGTGTGTGTGTAGGTTTTGAGGTTAATAGATACTGGTTTTAGTTATATTGTTGTCTCTGTGGCAAAATTTTCTTCCATGTGCCGTGTCCCTTCAGTATCTGAACGATTATGGCTCACCACTACTTTCTATCTTTTGTAGATCTTAGCAATATTTACGATCACACTAACTCCCAGCTCTGCCATCAATTCACATAAGCTCATCATGCTTCCTCCTGTCCCGTCTGCCTTCGATATGTCCTGTGAGGCTTAAATTTTACAAGCCCCCTTTCCTCCTTATGTGCCCGTTGAAATGACAGCCTTCTCTGATTCTAAGTATAAGTGTCAGTTATGAAGTGGAATTTCTTTCGTATTTGATCAGTCCAACGTTAGTTCCTTATCTCGCAACCCAAGAGCGTGATTTTTCTTTGCGCCCATTATCGCTACCGTCGCAATAAACCCAGCTCCATCCCTAACAAGTGGTACTGTCTGATGGTTTGGCTCCCTGGGGCTTGAGAAAATATCACAGTCAGTCAGCATACGATACTCGTATACTGAGTGATTGATTATTTAGTGCGCCCTCGTCGCTACCAAATGTGTCACAAGGTCAGTTTAAAGCAGAAAAATCTCATGCCACCTCGGCACTTCCTTCCCAATTTTTTGGCGTGGGGGCACATCAGGCATCGGTCATTAAACCCAGTTCCTTCCTGAAGAAGAGGCACTGCCTGGGTAGATGGTACCTTGAAGCTTGAGCGAATATTATCGACAGGAGCAAGTCCCGCTGTCGGCCAGCACACGATATTGCATACCGGGAGCTGCCTACTTTGCTAATTTGCCAGTCATTTACGTTTCACTACAGCGTCCATTTTTATTTCCATTTATACCCTTCTTTCATTAAATTGCGAATTTGTTTCTATTTTGCAGTGTGATAATTTAACTTATTACTGTATTCAGCTACTATCAAGGCTTTATATCACATAATGATCACCTTACTTTAAACAGTAGAGATGTTGATATGAAAAATACATACATATGCCTTCTACTCAGGTGTGCGTGCTAATTAAACTCACGTGAGTCGACGCCATTTTTTTTAACTCATAAAGCCGTTTGTCTTCATAGCAACTAGGAGTCCAGTATTGAATTAAAACACATGCTGAGAAATAACGTTCAAACTTTGCTGTTTAATTTTTACGCGAAATAAGATGCAAGAAAAAAAAAATTAAAATAAAGCAAACAAAAGGCATCAAATGCAAAATATTCGTAAAAGTAGCAATCAAAATCTTGAATATGTGAAAATGATGAACAAATAGAAAAAGTAAGAGAAAAGGTAAAAAGATATATTGGTTATGAGGCAGAAAAAAATGGAGGTAAAAGAAAGACAGGATAAAAGTGACGTTCTACGAGAAGAAGTGTTGAAGGAAAAAAAGAGAGATGAGAATGAAGAAACGAAAACTTCAAAAAAGAAAGAAATAGAAGTGTAGAAAGAGTAAAACGAATAAAAAATAGGAAAAAGAAGAAAATAATAACAAAAGGAATATAACGGTTTAAGAAAGAAAGAAAGAAAGAAAGAAAAGTAAGAAATGACAAAAAAGCAAACAAACAAGAAAGAAAGAAAGAAAGAAAGAAAGAAAGAAAGAAAGAAAGAAAGAAAAGAAATAAGGAAAGGAAAAAGAAAAGGAATAAACGAGAGAAAAAAACAAACAATCAAGAGAGAGAAAAAAGATAAGGAAAAATTGAAGGAAAATGCGAAGAAGAAAAAGAAGCAAAAAAGAAAAAGGCAAGTAAACGAACAAGAAAGAAAGGAGGGAAAAAACGAATAAAGAAAGAAAGAAAGAAAGAAAGAAAGAAAGAAAGAAAGAAAGAAAGAAAGAAAGAAAGAATTAAAAAAGAAAAGAAAAATAATTAGGAGAAAGAAAGAAGAAAAGAAGAATGCAAGTAATCAAGAATGAACGAATAAAGAAAAGAAAAAGAAAAGGTAAGGAAAAGAAAGAAGAAAAGAAAGAACGAAAAGGCGAAAGCAAGCAATCAATCAAGGAAAGTAGGAAGGAAAAAAAGAAAAGAAAAAAGCAAGCAAGAAAAAATGAAGAAAAAAGAAAAGAATAAAGCAAGCAACAAAGAAAGAAAGAAAGAAAGAAAAAGAAAGAAAGAAAAAGAAAGAAAGGAAGAAATGAAAAAGCAAACAAACAAGAAAGCAAGAAAGAAAGAAAAGAAATAAGGAAAGGAAGAAGAAAAGGAAGAAACGAGAAGAACAAAGCAAACAATCAAGAGAGAAAAAAGATATGGAAAAATTGAAGGAAAATGCGAAGAAGAAAAGGAAGCAAAAAACAAAAAGGCAAGTAAACAAACAAGAATGAAAGGAGAGAAAAAACGATTAAAGCAAGCAAGAAAGAAAGAAAGAAAGAAAAAAGAAATAAAGAAAGAAAATAATTAAAAGAAACAAAGATAGAAGAAATGAAGAAAGTTAGCAAGCAAGAATGAAAGAAATAAAGAAGAGGAAAAGAAAAGGTGAGAAAAAGAAAGAAGGAAAGAAAAAAGAAAAAAAGGAAAAGACGAAAGCAAGCAATCAGTCAAGGAAGGAAGGAAGGAAGGAATAAAAGAAAAGAAGAAAACAATCAAGAAAAATGAAGAAAGAAAGAAAAGAATAAAACAAGCAAGCAAGCAAGAAAGAAGGAAAGAAAGATGGAACTGGCGAAAGAAAGAAAGAAAGAAAGAAAGAAAGAAAGAAAGAAAGAAAGAAAGAAAGAAAGATGGAACTGGAGAAAGAAAGAAAGAAAGAAAGAAAGAAAGAAAGAAAGAAAGAAAGATGGAACTGGAGAAAAAAGGAAATGAGCGAGACAAAATAACGAAAACAACAATTAGATATTAGCAGTGGAGTGAAAATATCGGGCGGAAAACGAAGAGAGTGTGACGAGGAAAAATACCAGTGGAAAAATTGAATTATGAAAGAAAGCAAGCAGAATTTTCAAAAAAATATATGTAAATGCAAGTAAGTATGGATAAAAGACAAATAAGAATAATAAGGACTAGATTAGGGAAAGAAAGTGATGGTAATGATCAAAAAAGAACGGAAACGGAAAGTGAAAAGCTGAATATACAAAACGAGGAATGGAGAGAAAGAAAGAATTACAAAGAGGGAAAAATGGGACTGACGAAATGTCATAAGTATCGATACAAAGCATAATGATGAAAGAGAGGGAAGGTGTTGAGAAAGAAAGAAAGAAAGAAAGAAAGAAAGAAAGAAAGAAAGAAAGAAAGAAAGAAAGAAAATTTTCATAAAGACAACAACATGAATTGAAAGAAAGAAGGCAAGCAAGCAAGGAAGAAAGCAAGAAAGGGAGAGGGTTTAGAAAGAAAGAAAGAAAGAAAGAAAGAAAGAAAGAAAGAAAGAAAGAAAGAAAGAAAGAGTAGAATAGAACAGACTGTTGTGGGAAAAAAGAAAGAACAAAATGGAACAGAACAGAAACTGTTGAATAATAAGAAAGAAAGAAAGAAAGAAAGAAAGAAAGAAAGAACATGCAAAAAAAGGAGTGATATGAAGAAAAGAAAAAAAGGAAAGAACTCCAAAGACAGAAAAAATGCAACGAGCGAAATTGGAGTAAAATGTTGGCCAGGATGAGACAATATAGGATGAAAAATGAAGAATATGATAATGAGAAGCTGGCAGAGAGAAAATGAAATAAAGAAAGAAAAGAAGAAATGAACAAAGAAAGTAAGGAATGGACGATCAAAGAAAGAAAGAAAGAAAGAAGGTTGGAAATAAATTAATAAGGAAACAAACAAACAAAGGATGGAAAGAAAGACAGGAACAAAGAAATAATAAAGAAACAAACAAACAAAAAGGAGCACAAAGAAAGAAAGAAAGAAAGAAAGAAAGAAAGAAAGAAAGAAAGAAAAGAAACGAAACGAAACGAAACGAAACGAACAAACAAGCAATCAAAAAGGGGTGGAAATAAATCGAGACAAAAAGAAACTTACAAAAAGGAAACGATGGAAAGAAAGACAGGATAAAAGAAACAAGTAAATACTTAAAAGACGCAAAGAAAAAAGAAACAAATAAACACAAAAAAAAACAAATAAAAGAAACACATAAAAGAAAGAAGGAAGAGTGGGAAAAAAAGAAACAGACATAAAGGAAAGGATGGAAAATAAGATAGAATAACAAACAAATAATTAAATGAACAAGAAAGAAAGAAAGAAAGAAAGAAAGAAAGAAAGAAAGAACGAAAGAAAGGTGGAATTTTGAAAAGAAGAGAAAGTGTATACAAAAGTTGTATAAAAGATACAAGATAAGGCATGAGACACGTTATAAAAGTGGAAAAAAACTGGAAAAAGTGTGAGGAATAGTGAAAAAAAAAGAAAAAAACGAACAAGCGACAAAGACAGAAATAGAATTGACAATGTCTTAATAAAAATATCGGTGAGGCTCTGAAGTCTTGTCAGATCAAAGGACAGATTGTACGCGATATTTTTGTTTCTAATCACTTAAAATTGTCATAACCAAATTCAGCAGTTTTTTCTTTCTCTTTTTCTTATCTTCTTTCACAGTAATTCACTTATATAAAACTCAATGTCTCTTGCTATCCCTATATATATGCATACATGTTCGTGTTGTAATCGATCGACAAGGGAGAGTGATTCAATTTAATGAACAAGGCATGTCTCTAATTATTTTTTCTGTTGTTTGTTTTTTGTTTTTGGGGGGGTTGTAATTTTTCCAGTCGCCATATGAATCAACTCGCCGGTGGTGTAATACCGAGACTCGTCTGATTAACCATTACTGCTGAGTTGTGAGTTCGATTCTTGCTCGTCCCACCGTGCAAAGTTAAACAATAAAAACTAAACAAACGTTCGCATATCTTTAGGTAAACCAACTTAGCCACTGCTAGTCATTATCTATACAAATGCGGGGACTTTTACCTATGCTTTATAGATTACAAAAACGCAACAGATTTTGTGATCAAACAATAACCATACTCAGTTAAGTCATAGCTGAAAACATTTATCCGCTGGTGCATGTCAACCCCAAGTTTGTGGCGTGCTTTATTGAATATAAAGATCCACAAAGATCTTAGTATTTTCAACTTGGGTGGACATTCACCACCCGATAATTTTTTTCAGCTATGACTTAACTGAATATAGCTGTTGTCTGATCACAATATCTGTTAATACTAGCACAATGAACATAAAAATACAAACTGGACCTTTAATAGATTTTCTTTTAAATAATTTCACTCCAACGAATGTGATAAAGCCATTAAGAGGCAAGGAGTTACTGAGGGTAACTGAGAAAACATTACTGAAGGAAAAACACAATAAAAAGGATTGGATTCAAGGAGACGAAAAATGACGATTGACGTTACATTTAAATTTTTGAAGATTGCAATTAACAGAGAAGCGAGTAGCAGAGAGAGAGAGAGAGAGAGAGTTTCGCATGAGAAAAAAATATTAGCAGAGAACTTATGGTTACATTTAATAAATCCAACAGTAAAACGACGTGGCCTGGCAGACGGTCTAGTACTACGCTTAAATTAATGAAGTCGCTGTAACAAAGAGAAGAGTTCATCAGAAGAAATTGCCGTGAAAACATTTATAGAAAAGGCACAGGGAAGCCATATTATAACGGTGGTGGGGAGAAATGCATATCGGAATTCCCAGACCAGTTGTGGCAGCAATATTCAATGACAGACTTAAAAAGGTGCAAAACTAATTTGGGTGATGAATGATTAAAATTTCCTAATGTGCATAATTTTCATGTGTTAATTCTTAATATTATTTTATGTTTATTAAGTTAACTTTTTTTTTTTTTTTTTTTTGTCTATATTTTCCTGAAATGAAAGTGGATGTCATGAAATTTTCTCGGGCAAAGCATTCCACATTTTTTGCATTGGCAATATACTTTTTGGTATCTGTCTATATTTCTGAGATGAGGTATTATGCACACTATTTACATTATTCGGACTATTGTCCTCATCTTTGTCGCCATATTTATCACAACATTTTGGCCGTTGTACACTCCCAGCCTTCTTCAGGTGGTTGGAATGTCGAACTGGACCCTGGTTAAAGCAGGGGAGGGGGAGAACTTGGAGAGGGGAATTAACAGGAGATAACTGATAACTGACATCCATTAGACATGGCACGTGGAACTAGAACGATCTACCCCAGTCAGTGAAATAAATATTGATTATATGAATGGGGAACAGGGTTTCGTAGAAAAGACGAAATTTATTACGAGCTGCAAGAGACTAGATGTTTTGGAGAGCCATAATTGCCTACGTCTTGAAGAAACGCGGCACATGAAGAAGTCATTATCAAGAATGTTATCTGGTACAAGAGAGGTCCGAACATTGAAGTTAAGCAACTTCGAGCCACGTCACTACCTAGATGGGTGGCCGCTTCGGAATACCATGAGCTTGGATGTGTGGGTGGTGTAATGGACAAAGCTACGGAATTAGAAATCGAAGAGTCGAATTCGAATTCAAGTTGGATTTGTTATATTTAATTACGGGAAAATATCATTGGGAAATGTATGAATCTAACTGTTCTCCCCCAGCTACGGGTTAAATATAGTTAATAGTAAGACTTATTCTTACAATTTAAAATGCTTCAGCTTTAAATAACTAATAAACTGTGATAAGCAATAAAAAAATCAATTCACAATTATTTAGAAATATTCTAGAATAACGAGAATATATAATCAGTCGGTGTGACTGGTCGAGGTCATTCCTGCAGGGTCCGTCTATCAAATTCTGGAGTCGGGATGCTGAAGGTAACACCAATCATCTAAGTTATAAACTTTATATGCTTATTAATTCTCTCTCTCTCTCTCTCTCTCTCTCTCTCTCTCTCTCTCTATCTATCTATCTATCTATATATATATATATATATATATATATATATATATATATAGTTGGCCACCGGTATTCGAGGACACATGTCTACTAGGGCGGCTAGCCAATCCCTATTGGTTGCTCAAGCACATTTGTGTTTGTTCAACTGAGCAGACCTTCGTTACAGTTTATGGAAAATAGCGTATTATCTAGTGATTTTCACCAGTGTGAACAAAGCCTGAACGCTCAAACCCTTGATTTCTTCCATCTACCAAATTTCAGTCACAATGTATATTTATTATTAATATGTAATTTATTGCCCTGTTATATTACATTGAGCACTATCTTATAAACAGCAGCGGTCAATGTTTATGAATATGAAATATCGCCCATTTAGTGTTTTTTATATATATATATATATATATATATATATATATATATATATATATAAGTGTCGCTAAAGACTACTGAAAAGTTAATGCATTTAAGATTTTATTTAATTTTTCTGGTGTTCGTATACATTTTGTTTCTTTTCTGGACATAACATGTGTAAAATTTGTCTGAATTTTTTGTATGTCCGAGCACTTTCGGCTATTCTTCTAGCGACTGTCGAGTTTTTTTTTTGGTGAGGGGTATTGTAACTGAATATGAAAATTTTTTTTGTATGTATCTAGAGTTATGGGATTTTTTTTGATTTTACAAACACGGTCTGCACATTGTGACACTGTTCATAGATGATGTTATTAGCTTAGGATGATGTATGCGATGACAACTGAGAATCTTCCATGTTTTGGCATACATTCGCTTAATGTCAGCTACGCTCTAATTAAGCATATTGAAACTGAATTGCACCACAGGTACAGCCAAGTTTTTTTTTTTTTTATGGCTGATATTTTGTTCTGTGAATTCAACTCCGTATTTAACGCCAGACGCCCACTCCTGTCGTATTCTTTTCTTATTTTCTACTTAATTTGTGTATGTTGTATTCCATCTCCTTCGCTGATTCCTAATCAATTATAGGCTTCTTCTTGTTCCAGTTCACTAATCGTTATGATACAATCTAAATCTATTGAGTCTGTTATTATTATTATTATTATTATTATTATTATTATTATTTCCCTTGATTTCTGTTGTATATACATTTCCTTCTGGGTCCCAGCCAGAGACCTAAGGTCAGAAATGGCTTCATGAGATTTTCCCTGATCCTTTTTTGTAAAAAAAAATCACACACATTCTACATAGATAAATATCATCGTAATGTGTGAGCTTTACTTGTAACATTTTTTTGTATTTCTTTAAATCATGGGCTACAAGGAATCCATTGAATGAGTCTATCGAGACATCATCCAATCAATCCGAGTGTTCCAAATACAACTGGAATTATTGATGTCCTCATGTGCCACATTTTTTACATTTCCGCTTCAAGATCCGTTTATTTTGCTTGTTTTTGTAGATCTTCAAAGATACATTATAATTTGCAGGGACTACCATGTCAATAAGAAAGCATATTCTGTTTTTACGGTCTTTGATCACGATGTCTGGGCGATTAGCTTTGATTTTTCTCTCTGTGTGTATTGTAAAGTCCTATAACAGTGTTACAGGTCCTGTCTCTGTAACCCGATCTGGGTGATGTTCATACCAGTTTCTTGCAGTTTCCTTCCTGTAAAAGTTGCATATTTAGTTTTATATTCAGCGGGTGCTAATACTTTGCAACCAGATACAAGATGGTCTGTTGATTCTGGATATTTATCACAGAATCTGCATTTGGGGTCAACACAATTTTTCGGTATGTGTTCTTGGTAATTTCTAGTTAGCCAATGTTGGTCTTGTGCAGCAAAAATTAAACCTTCGGTGTCAGCTTTTAACCCTGCATTACGTAACCACTAATGGGTACAGAGTTTGTCTACATCAGCTTATTTGGTACCGACAGAATATTGACCATAAAGAGGCTTATCTTGCCATCGTTTTCGCATTTCGTACATTGCACTTGCTTTCTTTTTATTTTCTTTGTCGCTGCAGTAGGTGTACTGTGGTTTATTTTCGCTTTTTCACTTTTTTCTTTGCACTTGAAATTCCCTTTTGAATTTGTTGGTTTCCTTTATTCTTTATTTCTTTCATGTTCTTTTACACAGTCACCATCCAATCTTCTGTAGTTTCCAAGTATCTTTGAAGACCGATTTCTGTCGTCATTATTATTATTATTATCACTGTACTTGCCTTTGTGTTGCGTAGTACGAGTTACGACATGTTTTTGCCAGAGAGCTCAATCGACAAGTGTTTTTTTTTAACAGATGAGGCGCTATGCAACAAAAGAGAAGAAAATTAATTATTTGTGTTCACTGTATAGAGACAAATTTAAGTAAGTTGTAATAAGTACGTATATTTTTTTCTTTTTTTTTTTTTGCAATTCCTATATTTTATAACTATGAGGAATTTGATGCACATATTTCCTTTGATACCATTCCGGA